TGAGAAGTGTGGCACATGCTGGTTGAGAAGTCCCCTGTCACAATTTCCTATATTGCTGCTAGAAATCCAGAGGCACAACCGAGCCCCATATTACAAATCCAAATGCCCAGCTGCTATTTCCAACACACAATGCAAAAATGTGCTTCACTTCACGTCTATTTCCAAATATATAAGATTATTTTAAAATAATAATACAACCCAACTGTTGCAATGGGAAAGCAGTGAAACAAGTATTGCACTCAGCTCTTGCCTCTTTATAGTTTAACTCCCGGAGCTGCCTCCTAAAAGAACGTGCAAAAAGAGATACCGCTTGAAAGGCTTGAATACTCCTGTAATCTCCAGCACTCTTTCCATTCTCTGATGTGGGAAATCTAAGTGTTCTCAAAACTACGCAACATGCTATATAAACACAATTTACTCCTTTCCAACCAGACACTCTAGATAAAATCTGGAGCTACTCTAAATAGCACAGTTGCAGTCTTTTCTGTATTCTCCCCCAAACTAATCCATCAGATTAACTAATAGATTTTCTGATGGTACTTCTAAAGCCTCTTGAATGTTGTTGTGAAGTGTTGTCAAGTCGGTTCTGACCCATAGCAACCCTGTATAGGGTTTCTGAGGAGCAGCTGGTGAACTTGAACCACCAACCTTGCAGTTCAAACAGCTTTGCAGTCTGGCGCATTAGCCCACAGCGTCACACCAGGACTCCCTCCCCTTGAACGTCAATTGTTCTCAAAACAAACTAAGAAATGTGGCTGTGTTACAAAAAAAGGAAAATTCAAAACAAAGAAGAAAAGGACAGGGCATGCTGCTGTATGATGACTTACCTTCCAAGGATCAGCTGGTGGGTTTTTGTAATGTTTTATTTTGGTTTGACCTTGTGGTTTGCAGTCCAGTGCTTCTCCTACAGCACCACACCATTGTTGCTGTGGTTTGGTGCCATCGAGTCAGTACCGACTCATAGCAACCCTATGCACAACAGAACAAAACACTGCCCCATCCTGGGCCAACCTCACAATTGTTGCCACACTTGAGCCCACTGATGCTGCTACTTTGCCAATCCATCTCACTGGGGGTCTTCCTCTTTTTCTCTGACCCTCCACCTTACAAACATGATGTCCTTCTTCAGTGACTGGTCCCTCCTGACAATATATCTGAAGTAGGAGAGACGACGCTTGGCCATTCTGGCCTCCAAGTAGCACTCTGGCTATACTTCTTCCAGCACAGATCTGTTGGTTCTTTTGGCAGCCCATGGCACTTTCAATATTCTCCTCCAACATCGTAACTCAAAAGCATCAATTCTTCTATGGTCTTTCTTATTCGCTGTCTAGCTTTCACATGCATGTGAAGTTATTGAAAATACCATGGCTTGGGTCAGGTGCACCTTAGTCCTCAAGCTGACATCTTTGCTCTGCAGCACTTTAAAAAGGTCTTGTGCAGCAGATTTGCCTAATGCAATACCTCATCCGATTTCTTGACTGCTGCTTCCATGAGTGTTGATAGTTGATCCAAGACAACTTCAATCTTTTCTCCATTGATAAGAATGTTGTTTATTGGTGCAGTGGTGAGGAATTTTGTTTTCTTTACATTGAGATGCAATCCATACTGAAGGCTGTGGTCTTTGATCTTCATCAGTATTTTAAGACCTCTTCACTTTCAGCAAGCAAGGTTGTATCATCTGCATATCGCAGGTTGTTAACAAGTCTTCCTCCAATCCTGATGTCACATTTTTCTTCATAAAACCCAGCTTCTCAGATATTTGCTTAGCATACAGGTTGAATAAATATGGTGAAAGAATACAGCCCTGTCGCATACCTTTCTTAATTTTATGCCACACCATTACTAACCATTAAAAACAAACAGATCAGATGGCAGACTAGGCAGACACTCTATGTGAACACTCTAGGACAAAGATACAAGAGACCAAATGAAACAGACACAAATGAAAATTTGGGAGCCCTGAACTTCAGAGGAAAAGTCAGAGAAGTGGATTGTATGCTTGCTGGGAGGAGAAGCTGAGCAGGGATGGCAAGAGAGGGAAACTGATTGGTGAGCAGCTGGCCAGATGAAACTTGACCATCTTGTGAGCAATTTGGGTAACAGTAGGAGGCCT